TTGGGGTTTAGCGTGTAGGGTTTAGGGTTTGTAGTGGGTGGCGGGCGCGATAGTCGCACTGCGTTGTTGCAGGTGTTTTAAGCCTTTTGCAAGTTTTTGTTCAGGTGTTCTTCGGCTGGGGGTGTGGTGGGGTGGGGGATAAGAACGTCATTCATATTGCGTCCATGCCCAAAACACTGGTATTTACAGTGTTTTCGCCTCTTTGTACAACACACTGCGCAAAGGATGTGGAACAAGACACGTTGTCACAAGCATCCATGCCTGTCGCGACCATGCCCACAACACTAGTATTTGCAGTGTTCTTGCGTCTTTGCGCAACATACTGCACAAGAATGTGGAACAAGGAAAGCTGTCACAAGCGCCCATGCCATTGGCGACCATGCCCAATATACTGGTATTTACAACGTTTTTGTGTCTCTACGTCTTGCGGGTTGCGGACTCCGGGTTAGCACACTCAATCTCAGAAACCGAACCAAACACAATGTAAAGAATAGTGAAATCTTGTCCTGACTGCAAGAATTTCCTTGACGTCCAACTACCATGTTTTTGCTCCAAATCTCGCTCAAACCTAGGTTTCGTGCCACTTTTATATATAGAAAGCAACAGGGCGACCTATGCGCCCGCACCCTAGTAGCTTAGGGCTTAGGGTCCCCCAAGCACATCCCCTGCGCTAAACATAATTGCTCCCCACCCCCTATTAAGAAACTTTCTCCAATAGACTGTTTGATACTATCATGGAATGCTTGATTATTTGAGGGTGGGACATCTCATGCTTAGGCCGAGGGATGAACACTGAAAATTCACACGGGTGCTTTCCAGGGGTTCTGTAGGGATGTACAACAACGTAGAAAGTTTAGGCCAGGTTTTACGGTAGCCTTTTTTAAGTAGTTTGCCTAGCTTGATAACCCCAGCGTCCCACAAAGTAGGGCTTTCGTGTTTTCATCTTGCTGTAACGTCTCAGGCGCTCCCGTAAATCAAGGGTGTCAAAGGCATGAATCTTGACGTCACCCAATGATGAAACTAGGAAAAAACACGCACAGACCAGGCCCTTCGTAAGCCCACACGGCCGAAACAATGACCTAAGCGTCCAAGTACCAAAATAGAACAGGAGTCGAGCCCAAAACAGCTGAGGCCCCCGGTAGGTGGATAGAACATGGGGTATATTGGGATCTTATTACAATATGCCCAAAACCATATTCTATCTACTTAATTAAGGGGGACTATAACCCCAATATAGACCCTACTATAATATGGTAGTTTCCATTTTCTTCTCCATTATCCCTATATAACCCTAATATAATATACCCGAATATATATATATATAGATACATATATATATACCCCAATATACTATAACCCTAGACCTTTAA